AGTCGAGGAAAGAGCTTTGTTAGGTTTGAGAGAAGGAGGGGAAAGAGAAAGAGGCGAGGCTTTGCGTTTCTTGGCTGGTTTGTGGTGGTCTTTGGCGGTGAAAATGAAGCAACCAAGGTGGAGAAGAATGATGAAAAGAGAAAGGAATTTGTTGAAGAATACTGATCCAATGGTTTTCGCCATTGATAGACAGATACAGGGAGCTTGAAAAGTTCAGAGGTTGAGCAGCTAGCTCTGGTTCTAGCTTCAGGACATCAAGCAGTCAATTACGTTGCTGAGAGAGAGAAAGAGATGTTGGAGGGAATGATGAAAGAAGAAAGGAAAAGAAAGCGAAAGGGTAGGAAGAATGTAAAGGGGGATGATGTTCTAAGAGTGGGGGCATGGAAGAATAAAGTTTTAGGAGTAGGTGTAACGCAACTTCATGGCACATTGGGGCATCTCTCTCTCTCTCTATAAGACGATATATATAACTATTATAAGAGTAATTTTAATTTCTCGTTCAGGAGATGAGAAATTAATTACATGATTATTATTTTTAGTATATAGTTTTAATGTCAGTTAGTTTGAAGTCAGTTTAGCACCACCTTTAACCGAAAGTAACTGTGCGTCTATGCATTTTTTCTTGTTTATGATACCCATTCTTCACTTTCTTTCTTTAGGTTTTCCTTTTAATTAGTAAGTCAAAAATCCTATAAGAAATTGTATCAATTTTTTAATGAGAAATTAATAAGCCTTTTGAGTTTAGATTAAAGCACATCAAATTTAAGTAGATGAGTTTATATATATATATATATATATCTTTATCAGTATGTGTGTGGATTTAATTTAATTTTATGTTGAATTTATTTAATTAAATATTAATTTATCTGTTTAGTTGAATTTCTAAATGTGAATTTTTAAAAATCAAATTAAGCTTACACTACAAAAGAATAGTTATTAGTGGCTAAATATTTATTTGATATCTCTAAATTCTGTTCATATTGAGCTTCATGATGGATTATTGACAAAATATTTCATCAATAAAGTGATAAAAAAACAATTTTGATAATTCATTTCTTTCTGTAAATGTATTTCAATCGGTTATAAAAATAAATATGTGATAATTTTCGCAATAAATTATATTGAAATTTTTGAAATTAAATTGTTAATTATACCAAAAGTTATTAAGTTGCATCGTATTTGACAATTCCAATCCACTAAACAAGAATGTTTTTGTTGAATGTTGTTCTTCAAATAATTAATTAGTTTTAAGATTGTAATTAAAACAAATATTTTTTTCTGAAATTACTATATATAGTTTCTGATATGTTACAAAATTATAATTGAAATTTCATTTTTAAAACATAAAACATGAATTCCACAAGTAATTAATGCACCGACGACACATGTTTGTGTGGGACTATAGAGTACAGTTAAATAATTAATTATCCTCATATTTAAAACATTTTATATCACACAAATTTATAATTTTTTTTTCTAGCATTTTTCAATCTCAATAAATTTCTTCTACTCATGGCCCATCAACCGACATTATGCAAAGACGACCTAATTTTTCCTTATCTCTAATTAAGGAGTCAAACTATTCCTAATCTAGATTTATTTAGACATTAATTACTTCACGTTCAGTCATGTAAGCCACTATAAGCTACTAAGATAATTTCGTTTATTGATTGAAAAAAGAAAATATGAAAAAACTAATTTACATGTGGAGGCCGGCCCTAATTAAACCTGAAGCTGCAGCCTTAAAATTATCTTATAGCAAGGAAAGTGTAAATTCATGTAAAAAGTATTGAAAAAAATTCCCAAGGAATGACATGGACGACGGGGCTGCACACGTGCAAGTTCACCCCATTTCAAGTGGCCGACCATATTTTTTTTTTGATACTGTTTTTGACTTATTTGCAAAATTATTTGATTGTTGCTGGTGCTTCAGTTACAGGTTCTTCCTGTCTTGTTTCATTCATAAATTATTGAACATGCAGGCAGGAGGGAAAATGTCATTTCCCCTTCTGTTAAGGGAGAATCCAAAGTTTTTTTTTCACTTGTACCTGTTTCAGAAAAACTTTTGATGTGTTGCTTTCAATAAATCCCAACAAGCTTTTATAACACATGGTTTTGTCTAATTCTTCCTCTTCATCCTTGACGTCTTAAGGTGAAGCCAATTTATTTATAGAGATTGGGGTTGTTTTTTTTCATTAACAAAGGAGAAAAAAGGCCACAAGAAGATCTTAATTTCATCACAAATGTAAGTAGTTAACTATATCGTATTTGAATATTTAATATATTGATTAATATATTATTTTTTTATTTTAAAAAATAAAATTTAATTTTTTTTAATTAAAAAAAAAATTACATCGGACTCACAGACTCTGCAATCATGTAAAGTTAAGATATCCATATCAAATCAATACAGTGCAAAAGAAAAATACTTCGTTTTGCTTTTCCTTTTTTTTTTTTTTTAGAAGCAATGCTTAAAATCTTTAATTAATAGGGCTTGGCACATAGTTTCAAGTTTATATTTCTTTACCCTCACAGTCCAGGGATTAGTGGCTAGTGCGCTTCCACGCCTTGCCTTGGAGGGTAGTACCTACTCTATTTCCTATATAAAAATAAAACATACCAAGTACTTTCCTGCTCGGCTGACTCACCCACAAACAAAAGGAAAAGGAAATGCCACCATTTCGGTTAAGTTTCATAGACAGGTAGACGATGACTAAGCCCTATTAACCAAAGGATCCACTGTACAATTCCTTGATGTGTAAACATAAACTAAATTGCAACTAAAGCGTGCATTATTCCATTACATACACAATTTTGAACCAAAAGTATTCCGAACTTAGCCGGGCTGGGAAACAAACATATTTGTCCTTTGACTATAACCTCCATAGATCAACAACCTAGCTCCATAATGTCAGGCTGCAACAGTCTATGGTTCTAGCAGCCGTACTAGCTAGCCTTCGAGGTTAGGCATTTTCTTTTGTGACTAATTTAAATATTAAAATAATTGTACAAATTTAATAATTCAATTATATGGTTAAAATAATAAATAAAAATATTAATGAAACAAAACTTAATTCTGTTTAACTTATATTATTTTTTAATTTAGGTAATAAAATTGTTGGCATAATTGATTCGGACACATCAAACAAAGAGTAATCTTAGATTGAACATCAAATTTAACATGGGCAACCCAAAGCCAGCTACAGTGTCATTTTCAGAACTCAACGTAAACAAGGAAGCATCTTGGTCTTTCCAGTCATTTACTGTTGGTAAAAGGCTGCAATGATTGTACTCAAATGTAATTACAATGGTTGTCTTAATTTCTCTTTTGTTTGTTTCGTCTCGTGATAAATTGGAAACTTGAATGAAGTATATGTAGGATCTTTGATCATGGCGGTGGTGATGATGTGGGCCATACGATCTTCCCTAGACTACAATCTTGCTGCCAAGGTGGGTCCGTTTGATTTCCCTTTGGCCGATAAAAAGTTCTGATGACCACCCCGTGTTTCCCGTTCATTTTTTTACTGTGTTATCACCTGATCAACATTTAACGCCACTTGTCATATAATTTAAACAACTTTTAGTACTTTAAAGATCCTTCATTCTTGGTTAATTAACATGATTACTAAAACTAGCTTACGTTAATTAATTCTCTTGGGGTTATTTTGGAATTTGGACAGCTTAAAATAGTGAGCCGCACGATTCCGAAACTTAAGTCGCTCGACTTTACGGGTATAAATTCTTTATTTTGCTTGATTTTTTTATAATTTTACATTAATAAAAAATCATAATTCATAAATCCAAACTTATAAATTATAAATTTTAAACTTTAATATGTATGAGAAATTTTTTCAATACTTGGTTTAAAATTATAAAAAATACACAAAACGGTATATCAAATGAAAATAATAAATTTTTATTCTTGACTTTACATGCACCAAAATAAATAAAAAGAAAATTAAAAAATTAAGTAAATTAATTAAGTCTTTTACTAATCCATGTTGTCGAATTGGCGGGAAATTTCCACCTAAAAGTTACCATCTACTAGAATAAAGTTAACCTTTAAGACTTTATATGTTGAATTAATCAACAATTCCACATATATAATCATTCTCTTTATTTTTTTTAGAATCTAATTATTCTCATTATTTTAAATTTTAATGATACAATTTTGTAAAAAAAATTGAAATTCTCATTAATTCCACATATCATATGTGATATGATATGATCATAGTATTACTTTTCAAGTTTTCCAACACAAAAATGAAAAAGGAGAAAACGGATAACATTGTTATACTTTCATAGAAAAGCAAGTCAATGAGGGTATTGACTTTTGAGTGAAATGTATAGCATGGCTTCGTTTTGATGAAGTAAAAGAAGTCGGGGGCTTCTTTTTCTTTGGGACATCTCGATCCTTCTCAACTCTGCTCCGATATCTCTTTTTTGCTTTGTTGCTCCTCTCTTGGGATGTAAGAAAGCTGCCGACATTGTTTTATTTTACTGCAATCTGTGTTTAATATTACAAATTAATCAATATTGGTATATATATTAATGTTGAAAAATAAGTAAATTTCTTGAGCTGTTAGCCCCCCCGCCCCCCCACAAAAAAAGGAGATTAAATTATTTGGACCAAGGGTAAGAAGTTTGCCTTTGTTGACGAAAAGAATCATCAACGCATTTTGCTTTCTTCCTCTAACCCTTTTTGTAAATTACGGGTCTTTGTCTTGAAGATGCGCATGGCTAACAATGGAGGACACTAATTCATTATTCATTATTGAAATGGAAGGTTTGGTTCAGCCTAAAATTATTTATTATTATGCTTACAATTTAATTGAACTTTGTGGGATCGAAGTGGGGATCCCACTTGATACACACATTTATATGTTTCTCTAATCCAGTGGTTGGGTAACACATGTGGCTGGCATTAATGCTCATCAGCATTGAGATATGCTCCTGATCTTATACCCTATTTTACTTTATTTGTTTATTTTTTCTTTTTACAGCAAATTGAGGGCAATGGCAAAATTGGACCTGTGGCATTCAGCCAGTAATTTCCCTTGAGCATCAAGTCTTCTGAATCTCATTATTGAACTTTGCCTAAAATCTGACCAAAAGCGTGTTATAAAAACCCCTTTTGGGGTGCATCCAAGCCTATGCTCAAACTTTTTAAATGATTATAGAAATGGAAAATTAGATAGAAGTGAAAGATTAAGCTTGGGACACAATGAGCTAAAGTTTCTGTCTAGTTTGAAAGCTGACTTACTAGACTTTATTTATCTCAACCCATATGACCAACAATTATAGGTTGTACTTGTATTAGAGACTCATTGAATTAAGACTTTTTTTTAATTTTATTTTTATTTAATTTCTTTTTGAATCATCACTTTCAAATAAAAAATTGTAAAAATATAAGAAAACTCATATATGCATACAATAAATTCTGTGTGTGACGATTTTTTTT